ACAATGAAGGGAAAGATCTACGAATAATAAAAAATATGTATTGGCAGCAAACAGCAACTATAAGAATTACCAACTGTTTAGGTAAATTTCAAAGCATAAAGAGGGGCGTACGGCAAGGATGTGTACTGTCACATGATTTGTTTTCAATATACAGTGAATATATAATGAGAGCTTTATTTGGTATGCCCGGAATTGTGGTTGGTGGGCACAATATAAATAATTTACGTTATGCTGATGAGATAGAGGAAGACAACGAGAGAAGATGCTTGACAGTCTTGTTGCATGGCATGGAGGTGTGTCGGCACACGAACTGATACATGCTGCAGGAGATCGCAGATTATGGAGAGGCATGATCGCCCACGCCAGTCGGCAAGGCACCTGATGATAATGAATGATGATGATGATGATGATGATGATGATGATGATGATATAGCAATGTTTGTTTGTTAGTTATAGACTCGGAAACTACTGTACTGATTTAGCAGAAATGTTTAGGACATGTTTTTTTTTTTTTTTTACTTGGAGATGCTACCTGTCATAGTTTTAAATAGGTGGCGGAATTTGTTAAAAAAAACACTTTTCGAAACTAATAATTTTTTTAAGTGACATTTCAGTTAAAGCCACATTCGTACACGCGCATGTGCAGTAGTCGGGACCCGCCCGTTAAATTCTATTTTTAACAAATTTGTTTCTTTTTTCATTGCCTGTGGAACGGCTGGCCGAACGGTTAGGACGCTGGGCTCATGTGCGAGAGACCCTGGTTCGAATCCTTAGTACGGCTGGTGACTATTTTTTCCTCGGGGGCAAAAGAAAACTTCACCTGCACAGTTGTGGTGACAGCACTATCCATGCGGTCCTGGATACTCAGGCTTGCCTCACTGCCATCACCTCCATCGTCATACTGCTGGTATTCATAGAGAAGGCGCCGTTGGCTTCTTTGACTGTTCTGCCCGCTGAGCTTGCTGTGAATGCCCATGATGTTAATATACGATTAATTTACGATATCAACATCCAAAAGGTATTATACTGGTTAGTTGAATACAAATGTAACATAAAAATGAAGAATGTTTCAGTCGCCTGGCGAGGGTTAATCTATAAAAGTATACCTGACTATTTTTTTGTGTTGTTTCATATATCTTCTGATAATATGCAATTATTCAGTATGATACGAAAACGGCAGATTCCAGTTTAATTTTTGGGAGTAACTTTAGTGGTTCAGCTAAAGTCATTTGTAGTATTTAAGAAGCATTTTTCGTAAATTTACATATCTAGACCAAAGAACTCATTGTGGGATGAAAATAATTTACGTTATGCTGATGACACAGTCTTGATAGCAAAAAGTCAGAAAGAACTACAGGAAATGATATACATTGTGGTGTTAGAAAGTGGAAGAATGGGCCTCAATTTGAATAATGGGAAGACAGAAGTAATGGTGGTATCAAAGAAACGAATTATTCCATATTGGTTAAAAAAAAGTTGATGGTGTTATTTTATGACAAGTACAGAAATTTAAGTATCTGGGCACATGGATAACATCAGATGGAAGATGCATAACTCAGATAAGAAACAGAATTAGACAGGCAAAAACTGCATTTTATAAAATGAAAAACATCTTGTGCAATATATCCTTGTCATTGAGAGTTAAAAAAAAAAGAATTCTTTCTTGCTACACACATCCAGGTTTAACATATGGCTGTGAATCCCGGACAATCGGTAGGCAGGCCAAACTAGTTCTGGAGGCCTCGGAGATGTGGTTTTACAGAAGAATGCTTAGAATACCTTGGACAGCCAAAAAGAGCAACCAAGATGTTTTGAAAGATGCGGGAGCCAGAAGACAACTTATCACAGACATCAGAAGGAGACAGTCATCTTTTTTCCGCCATGTTATGAGAAGAGGGAAAATAGAACTTGTTGTGACCACTGGAAAGATATGTGGAAGGAGAGATAGTGGAAGACAACGAGAGAAGATGCTTGACAGTCTTGTTGCATGGCATGGAGGTGTGTCGGCAAACAAACTGATACATGCTGCAGGAGATCGCAGATTATGGAGAGGCATGATCGCCCACGCCAATCGGCAAGGCACCTGATGATGATGATGATGATTATGATGATGATGATGATGATGATGATGATGATATAGCAATGTTTGTTTGTTAGCTATAGACTCGGAAACTACTGTACTGATTTAGCAGAAATGTTTATGTTTTTTTTTTTTTTTTTTGATTTGAAGATGCTACCTGTCATAGTTTTAAATAGGTGGCGGAATTTGTTTTAAAAAAAACATTTTTCGAAACTAATAATTTTTTAAAGTGTCATTTCAGTTAAAGCCACATTCGTACACGCGCATGTGCAGTAGTCGGGACCCGCCCGTTAAATTCTATTTTTAACAAATTTGTTTCTTTTTTTATTGCCTGTCACGGTGGAGCGACTGGCCGAACGGTTAGGGCGCTGGGCTCATGTGCGAGAGACCCTGGTTCGAATCCTTAGTACGGCTGGTGACTATTTTTTCCCTCGGGGGCAAAATAAAAAACTTAACCTGCACAGTTGTGGTGACAGCACTAGACATAAGGCCCTGGATATTCAGGCTAAAAAAAAACGACCCTAAAAAAATACCAACAGCATGTGACGGAGAAATAACAATTTTTTGGGAGTACTAATAATTACATTCAAGGGACCACTAATATAAAGACAGTTATATGTTGCGTGTTCTAGAGTCTGCCAGCCAGACTGTCACTTTATCTGCGCAGACAATGATTGCAAAATGAACCATTTGCGCAGATATCACAACCTAGCTGTAAACCACAACACAACGTGCCAACCGCACCTTTAGGGGAAAATGAAAAATTAGCACCCAGGGGGAAATCGAACACCGGTCATCCGCGTGAAGAGCTGAATACTTACAACTTTACTACCGAAGACTGTAGGTCAGATATCGCAGCCTAGCTGTAAACCACAATACAACGTGCCAATTGCCCTCTCAAGGGCGAACGAATATTACCTGTGACATGAGCATTGAGCATCACAGCGCCGCTATCACAGGCTGGCTGTAAACCCCATTATTGAGGGGGGAAGGCGTAGATATTGCAGCCTGGCTATAAACCACAACAAAACGTGGCAGCCACCCAGTTAGGGGCCCCAAAAAAAAACATTGTATCTCCCAGCGGGTAATCTAACGCCTATCGCGTGAAAGACGAAATGCTTACAACTAACTACGCTAACAACTATTCAAGCGTTTAGTAGAAATGAAATTATATAATAAAGTGAAGTTCGGTGTTACACACAGTCAAAGGCGGCCAACAACTAAAAACAAATCCGGGCCAGCAACGAAACCACTACTGAAATTGTCGTTGCTGGAGCTACGTCATTTGTGGCTTGTGCAAAACTCATACATACAAACACGCGCGGAGTCTAAGGCAACGTTGTATGAACATTTGAAAGCGATCGGTAAAGAAATGATGGAGAATGATCCTGGGGGAAAGGCATCTTTTGGCAGCCCTGCTTAGCAGTCGAAGGTGGCCAATCAACTGAAGAAAAACAATCTGGAAACAAAACAAATAATGATTTGACAATTGCTAGGGCTTCGTCGTTCGTAGTTTGTGCGATTTGATGACACAAAAAACATGCTTTGAGTCAAAGGCAACGTTGTGTAAAAAATTTAAAGCAATCGGTTCAGTAGTGTCTGAGTCTATATTTAACAAACTCGGAAAATTACCATTTTTATTAATATAGATACGCTTAAATATTTTACAATAGCCACTTGTTACGTTTGACTAATTATTCCACACATGGCATACTTTTATGTAATGAAGTTTATAGTCTTTTTGTTGTTGTGCTTTTTGTGTGCGAATATTGCGGTTTAGTTAATCATGAATAAGTGAATATACACCAAGTGTTTTGACTTTTTTAAACTTACCCCTTGCAATCTATACTGGTAAAAGAGGTCGCTAATTTAAGATATAATGACACTGTATCTCTATCAACTCACGATCTTTGCCCACGGTAGTTTAGCTACCGGCATTGTAACTTATGTCAAACGTTTTTTAACGTAGTAAATGTAGGAAAAAATCTCAGCCAGACATGTCGTCATTGTTTCAGATAAGCAAAGCATGCTCACGAAGGTGGAGTCATGTTTTCTTTCCGTATGGTATGGATTACATGAATCCAGAGGTCGCAGGTGGTGAGAGGCACATTGGTTTTTACCAAGGCATTCAGGTGTCTTTGGAAATGAGCAGAGGAATAGACTAGTTGGTGTGATACCATCTGGGGAGGGCTGGGGGGGGGGGGGGGAGTGTACTGCAACTGCACAAGGGAGAGGTGATCTAAAACCTGTGGGATAAGGTAACAGGTGAAATGGATGATACTGAAAATCCGTACCTGGAGAAAATGTTAAAGCGAAGAGTGGCTGTGGGCTCTGAGCGCCACTCGGGACTCAGGGGAAAGCAAGATCAATAGTTAACCAAGTGACAACGGGTACCATCAGTATAGAAACTCTTCGCTGTCTGTTGAGGATGGAGACGATGCTAATATGGGCTTGTTCTGAATGCTCTGGTGTCGAATCTTCACCCAGATAAACGTAGTTGCTGAAATAAAAGTGCCACTACTTTGTTCTCTCAAAATTATCTTTGATATGGCAGAGACTAAAACAAATGCAGTATCCCATTAAATGCATACGCTTGCTTTATGTCTCTTTAAACAGTATAAAAATTTCCACTTTACTATAAGATTCAAACTCAATTGTATGCCCACACTTCAGTCGAATTTACAAATCTATTTTTCTTCTTTCAGGCTAAAAGATACCTTCTAAAGAGGCAGTCATGACAACAGCGCAATATCATATGAAGAGGCAGTAATGAGGTTAGGGCAGTTAGTTTCACCATCGGTCTTCATGAAAAGTACACTAAACACTGGCCCGCCCTCAGAAAAGAGGAGTAATCTACCACTATCATCTTTATAGAAATCCCTTGATTCTAAAGCATATACCACCCTATATCAGCAACGGAATGAACATTACTAATTACCAAGGTTTAAGCAGGACGGCTTCAGACAATTCATTCCTAACTCGAACACAGCTCATCATGTCGCGCGACACCATTTGGGCTTCTACCAATTCAAATGGCTACAATACTTGCAAGGAATGTTCATTAAACACTAAGTTCCTGTCGACATTCAATGTCAAACAGTCACAAAACAATTGTTTGTTTAACAGCCATGCAGATAAAACAAATACTGAAGTTAGATATCTATTTTTAAAAAAAGAGTCAAGTACAGCCTCCAAGAGAAACATAACATCATCGGGACCACATACTACAGAACGTATCAGCAGTTCGAGGCTAGAAAAGTCAAAAATAAAAAATCCTGAACTTTTTTCTGGCGAACTTTTACTTGATTTTCCTTCAAATTGTAATTCACCTCAGTCACTCAGTCACACTTTAAAGAAGCCAGATAAGAGTACAGAGCTAAGAGGTCACCCAAGTTTACAACACTCTGCATCTACGCCAGGTTTTATTGGTAGACCAATAACAGAAAGTAAGCTAGATTTCGCTAATGCTAAATTTGAGTCAAAGTCTCGTCCTTTCTTTCCGTTTTTTTGGAAAAAACATAAAACAAGTGATGGCAGATCGCCATCCTCTTCTGTTAAATCAAATAATCATCAAAATATTCAAAGATGTCCTAGTAATCTTAGCTTCACTTCACAACTGCAGAGAGTATCTCAACGTACTGCTTCCCCGTCATCGAGAGGCAGGGGATCAGCAGGCCAATCACCCGTGTCCCCTAGATTTTATCTGGCTTCAGTGTCATCAAATATACCCTGCACCCCCAGTTCTCCCCCGTCAATGTACTCCCCATCTGAAACAACATCAGACTCTCCGTCGAACAGAGACAAGTGCCCACGGCATATGTCCAGGTCGAGGTCCAAGAGCAGACAAGAATCACAACGTAAAGCTGCTGACAGTGAACAAAGTGATCCAGAGGATTACCTAACATTAGAAGATCTTCCACTGCATCCTTCAGTTTTGAAACAGCCCCTGGGAGTGACCAATAGTAATCCGTCTACTTCAGTAATGACTTCAAGTAGGTTGAAAATGGACATCGGTAGCAATAACACAACAAGTCACAGAACCAAAGTAATGTCTGAAATTAGAAGAAACTCCCTGCCCGAGTCTCACGTGGATCTGAAAATGAAAGACCCAAGCTTTGAACGATGCTATGGTCCCAAAGACTGTAAATTCGATTCAAAGCAAAATTGCAGAAGAAAGTCTCTGGAAAGTAGTAGTAAATCGATGTCAGGGAATGACTCCCAGTATGAAATCATGTGTACCAGTCATGACCAAAAGCCAAGACCTCCCGTTCGATCTCAATCAGTGCCTAGTTTTGGATCTGATCTCTGTTTGCCAGGTACAGACACCAGGGTTATCTCTGACGCCGAGGATTTTGAGTACAGCCCCACTGACATGACCGGATCGTTGCATCTATCTTTCTGTGGGTGCGGGTTTCTGGGAATGTATCATCTAGGTGTTATCTCTTGTCTAAGTCAGCGTTCACCTTCCTTACTTGAGCAACTTGAGAGAGTAGCCGGAGCTTCAGCTGGTGCTATCATGGCAGTACTTCTGGTCACATGTCGTGATAAAATTGAGGTAAGGTGTACTATGCTGATGTTGATTCATATACTGTCTGGGTTATAATAAAATGTTTAAAGTCTTCTGATATTTACTCCATTATTTTGAAAAGGCAATAGCCTTGTCTTGTATAAGTACAAAATATATACATATTCATTTATTAAATGCATACTTTGACCCCTTGCCTCCATCAAAGCATCTGGGTTGTTGTTTTTTTTTTTTTTTTTTTTGTCCAAAAAGTTTTAAGGAATCTTCCGTAAAACCAAATCTCAAAGGCCTCATGAAATTGTTTGGCTTGTTCATTATTTGTCCCGGATTAATAGGAATATGTTAACAAAGGGTTTATATATAGCATGCAAGATTTTTTTTTTTTACTCTAATGCCACAAAATAATTGCAAAAAAATGCTCTTCTTATAAAACGCAGTTTAGCCTAAAGTTTTGCTCTTTATCTCTGTGAAACATCTTCCGTCGGATGTCATCGGCATAGCGTTTGTTTATGTTATGACTACCAACCACAATTCCTGGCATATTCACCAAAGATCTAATTATATATTCACAGTAAAATATAAACAAATACCGTAATAATACACATCCTTGTCGTACTCCCCTCAAATAAGGATGGCAATAACAATGCAAAGATTGAACAACTTTAAAAGAAGAAGAAGAAGAAGAAGAAGAAGAAGAAGAAGAAGAAGAAGAAGAAGAAGAAGAAGAAAAAGAAGAAGAAGAAGAAAAGAAGAAGAAGAAGAAGAAGAGGAAGAAGAAGAAGAGGAGAAGAAGAAGGAGAAGCAGAAGAAGAAGAAGAAAAGAAGAAGAGAAGAAGAAGAAAGAAGAAGAAGAAGAAGAAGAAGAAGAAGAAGAAGAAGAAGAAGAAGAAGAAGAAGAAGAAGGAGGAGGAAGAGGAGGAGGAGCAGAAAAAAGAAGAAGAAGAAGAAGAAGAAGAAGAAGAAGAAGAAGAAGAAGAAGAAGAAGAAGAAGAAGAAGAAGAAGAAGAAGAAGAAGAAGAAGAAGAAGAAGAAGAAGAAGAAGAAGAAGAAGAAGAAGAAGAAGAAGAAGAAGAAAAGAAGAAGAAGAAGAAGAAGAAGAAGAAGAAAGAAGAAGAAGAAGAAGAAGAAGAAGAAGAAGAAGAAGAAGAAGAAGAAGAAGAAGAAGAAGAAGAAGAAGAAGAAGAAGAAGAAGAAGAAGAAGAAGAAGAAGAAGAAGAAGAAAGAAGAAGAAGAAGAAGAAAGAAGAAGAAGAAGAAGAAGAAGAAAAGAAGAAGAAGAAGAAGAAGAAGAAGAAGAAGAAGAAGAAGAAGAAGAAGAAGAAGAAGAAGAAGAAGAAGAAGAAGAAGAGAAGAAGAGAAGAAGAAGAAGAAGAAGAAGAAGAAGAAGAAGAAGAAGAAGAAGAAGAAGAAGAAGAAGAAGAAGAAGAAGAAGAAAGAAGAAGAAGAAGAAGAAGAAGAAGAAGAAGAAGAAGAAGAAGAAGAAGAAGAAGAAGAAGAGAAGAAGAAGAAGAAGAAGAAAAAGAAGAAAAAGGAGAAGAAGAAGAAGAAGAAGAAGAAGAAGAAGAAGAAGAAGAAGAAGAAGAAGAAGAAGAAGAAGAAGAAGAAGAAGAAGAAGAAGAACAACAAGAACAAGAAGATGTAGAAGAAGAACAACAAGAACAACAACAACAACGACGAGGAGAAGGCTGAGGAGGAGACAGAAGAGGGCAGAAGATAGACAGCATGGGGGGGGGGGGGGGGTAGTGGAACAATAATTTCTGCTGCTAGTCACTTGGCCCTTCCGTGCCTCCAAGCGTTGTAAATAACCTGTTTCTACTAACTGCTTTTTTTTAAAAATCTGAATATTTGTTTATAAATGCACTTTGTATCAACAAAAATATCGGCATAGCCTTTACTAAGTATTAATTTCAAAAAGCGCAAATCGTTATAATCTGCTACCTGAAAACATACTACGCTAAGATTACTTTATCGCTTCTTAAACATTCAAGGGTGTCCTTGTACGATAGAGACATACTTTGATAACCTTAACTGCCAATTTTGTTATCGCTTGCGTCGTGACATTTTATACAAGAATCACATGGCGCTGATTGGTACTGATTTTTTTTTTTTTTTATCTCGTGAATGTGTGACTACGTGTGTTTTTCAATACTGTTTCTTCGTTGTGTATAGTTCTTGACACTAGTTATCTAGACTTTGTTATCAGATATATTGCAATAGCAAATTTACAAAAACCGAAGCTTCTCAAAACGTTACTCGTCACTTAAAATGTTTGAATTATTCTTGATGTAGTGTAACACTACTATCTATTGCGATGATGATGCTAAAAACTGGTAAATTCTTTTCGCTGTTGGCAATTTAAAAAATTGTCCATTGAATATAATTTTCAGCGTAGCGCTATGTCTTTTCTGTTGCTAAAACGTATAACTGTGTTTTTAAAAATAAACTGTTAGAATAACGCACATGGATTGTGATAAGTCAGAATCTGTCTATATTTAATCTTATAATTTTTGTTTCCTGTGCACGAAAATTTCTTTCGGTAATCAGTTAGTTAGTTAGTTAGTTAAATAGCTAGTTAGTTAGTTAGTTAGTTAGTTAGTTAGTTAGTTAGTTAGTTAGTTAGTTAGTTAGTTAGTTAGTTAGTTAGTTAGTTAGTTAGTTAGTTAGTTAGTTAGTTAGTTAGTTAGTTAGTTAGTTAGTTAGTTAGTTAGTTAGTTAGTTAGTTAGTTAGTTAGTTAGTTAGTTAGTTAGTTAGTTAGTTAGTTAGTTAGTTAGTTAGTTAGTTAGTTAGTTAGTTAGTTAGTTAGTTAGTTAGTTAGTTAGTTAGTTAGTTAGTTAGTTAGTTAGTTAGTTAGTTAGTTAGTTAGTTAGTTAGTTAGTTAGTTAGTTAATTAGTTAGTTAGTTGGGTAATCATCATTACATTGCGGACATGTCCATAGGTGCTCAGTTTCTCCCCTCAGTATGAACCCCAATGTCCGATGGCTAATTTTACCAGTTTTATGTTAATTAACAGTCGTCTGGTGTGCGTCTCATTTTTTGCTATGCCGATCTTAATTCCCAAGTCTGCCATTCTTGCGAGTGATGTGGATTCACTGCACCCAAAGTCATCTATTCTTCCCCATTTCTCTGAGGGCATTAATAATATCAGCATGATCAGTAGGCTGACTGTCGGTAGTGATAGCGGATCCAGCCAAGCTATCAGCTCTTTCATTTCCATCGACGCCTGTGTTTCCCGGGAACAACAATAAATGTGACTCCACGCACAGTGGACTTCTGTAATGATTCAAGCCATTGTCTTTGCACTGAAACTGCCTGAAAAACCCCCCCCCCCCCCCCCCCCACACCCCCCACCCCCACCCCGGATCATACTCATTGAATTACTGAATTTACATACGCGGGTGTAGTTTTTTGCTTCGAACCAGGCGAACGCTTGCGTCACTGCCATCACCTCTATCGTCATGCTGCTGGTATTCATAGAGAAGGCGCCGTTGGCTTCTTTGACTGTTCTGCCAGCTGAGCTTGCTGTGAATACTCATGATGTTAATATACGATTAATTTACGATATCAACATCCAAAAAGTATTATACTGGTTAGTTGAATACATATTGTCACAGACCTCTGGGTGACCTTGCTGGTCCGTGGCTCGTAACTGGGCCTATGACAGACAGACTAACCTTCAACACACACTGAACCCGAACGCACACAGAGAACACACGACAATCTTTATTATAAGTACAGGTAAGACAATAGACAGTTGACTTCCCGCTGTGTGGCCACCTATTGCCTGGACCCTCTGGCCGAACGAGCTTTACAGTCGGCTCGCTCCCAGTACGTCCACAAGCAATCTCCTGGTGTACAAACCACACGGTCACGAGATACGCTCTTACCTATTGACACGCTGACCAACCAAACTGTCACAGTCTCTGTCTTAGTGCAGGGTCAGAGTGTCAAGGTTAGACATTCTCTCACAAAACGTGTCTAAATACCCTACACAAGAACTATCCTATTCTACATAAACTATCCAGTCACTAACAGAAATATCCTAACTCTAATACTATCACTGTCTTGCTAAACGTCCTCTCTCACTGACCGACGCACACCGAATGTCCTGTTCTCTCTACCTCGTGTCTCTTGACCCCGTTCACCAGCTCAGTCCCAAAAGCGGCAATCGTGTTGCGGGTTTGTCCACAACACAGTTCACTCTTTCTTGCTTTATCCTGAGCGCTGGTTTCGCTGTGCAATCACAGATCGGACTTGACAGGTCACGGCCCTGACCTTTGTGTCAACCCTGGGGTGTCACATTAACACGCACACCTTACCGTGTGGTACATTCCGCCACTGACTGTACTCACAGGGTTGTGACACATATGTAACATAAAAATGAAGAATGATTCAGTCGCCTGGCGAAGGTTAATCTATAAAAGTATACCTGACTATGTTTTTGTGTTGTTTCATATATCTTCTGATATTATGCAATAATCCAGTATGATACGAAAACGGCAGATTCCAGTTTAATTTTTGGGAGTAACTTTAGTGGTTCAGCTAAAGTCATTTGTAGTATTTAAAGAAGCATTTTTCGTAAAGTTACATATCCAGACCGAAGAACTCATTGTGGGATGCATTTTTGATTACAAAGTACCACTTACTAGAGTGATTAATAGCAAAATGCGACATTTTACTATGCCTTTCTTCAAGTACAAAATTGTTACAATTTAAATATCTAGGACCAATCGTTATCTCAGAAGAGAGAATGGATTTAGAAATCAAAACAAAGGATGTATAAACTTACACTGCTTTTGACACTGTCACATAACGTTGGTGTCACGTGCCTTTACCAGCGTTTCCTCTAATCATCCGAAATTAAAAATGTATGAAGCCTTGTGAATCCAACATTCATTAACACAGTTTATAAGTCACTGGAGTCGAAAGAAACCTTGAATACCTATAGTTTATAATACTATATTGATCATAGCATTTAATAATATGTTCGAGGAAAAAGATTCTTTGTTTTACTTTAAAATGTTTCTTGCTAG